AGAGACTCACACAGACACAGATTCACACAGACACAGATTAACACAGACACAGACTCACACAGACACAGACTCACATAGACACACATAGACACAGAATCACACAGACAGAGACTCACACAGACAGAGACTCACACAGACATAGACTCACACAGACACAGACTCACATAGACACAGACTCACATAGACACACATAGACACAGACACAGACTCACACAGACACAGACTCACACAGACACAGACTCACACAGAGACTCACACAGACACAGACTCACATAGACACAGACTCACATAGACACACATAGACACAGACTCACACAGACAGAGACTCACACAGACAGAGACTCACACAGACACAGACTCACACAGACAGAGACTCACACAGACACAGATTCACACAGACACAGACTCACACAGACAGAGACTCACATAGACACAGACTCACATAGACACACATAGACACAGACACAGACTCACACAGACACAGACTCACACAGACACAGACTCACACAGAGACTCACACAGACACAGACTCACATAGACACAGACTCACATAGACACACATAGACACAGACTCACACAGACAGAGACTCACACAGACACAGACTCACACAGACACAGACTCACATAGACACACATAGACACAGACTCACACAGACAGAGACTCACATAGACACAGACTCACATAGACACACATAGACACAGACACAGACTCACACAGACACAGACTCACACAGACACAGACTCACACAGAGACTCACACAGACACAGACTCACATAGACACAGACTCACATAGACACACATAGACACAGACTCACACAGACAGAGACTCACACAGACACAGACTCACACAGACACAGACTCACATAGACACACATAGACACAGACACACACATAGACACAGACTCACACAGACAGAGACTCACACAGACAGAGACTCACACAGACAGAGACTCACACAGACACAGATTCACACAGACACAGACTCACACAGACACAGACTCACATAGACAAAGACTCACACAGACACAGACTCACACAGACACAGACGACTCACACAGACACAGACTCACACAGACACAGACTCACACAGACACAGACTCACACAGACACAGACTCACATAGACACAGACTCACATAGACACAGACTCACATAGACTCACACAGACACAGACTCACACAGACAGAGACTCACACAGACACAGACTCACATAGACACAGACTCACATAGACACACATAGACACAGACTCACACAGACAGAGACTCACACAGACAGAGACTCACACAGACACAGACTCACACAGACACAGACTCACATAGACACAGACTCACATAGGCAAACATAGACACAGACTCACACAGACAGAGACTCACACAGACTCACATAGACACAGACGACTCAAACAGACACAGACTCACACAGACACAGACTCACACAGACACAGACTCACATAGACACAGACTCACGTAAACACACAGACACAGACTCACACACACAGAGACTCACACAGACAGAGACTCACATAGACACAGACTCACACAGACAGAGACTCACACAGACAGAGACTCACACAGACTCACATAGACACAGACGACTCAAACAGACACAGACTCACACAGACACAGACTCACACAGACACAGACTCACATAGACACAGACTCACATAAACACACAGACACAGACTCACACAGACAGAGATTCACACAGACATAGACACACACAAACATAGACACACACAGACACAGACTCACACAGACACAGACTCACATAGACACAGACTCACATAGACACACACAGACACAGACTCACACAGACACAGACTCACACAGACACAGACTCACATAGACAAAGACTCACACAGCCACAGACTCACACAGACACAGACGACTCACACAGACACAGACTCACACAGACACAGACTCACATAGACACACACAGACACAGACTCACACAGACAGAGTCTCACACAGACTCACATAGACACAGACTCATACAGACACAGACTCACACAGACACAGACTCACACAGACACAGACTCACACAGACAGAGACTCACACAAACTCACACAGACACAGACTCACACAGACACAGACTCACACAGACACAGACTCACACGGACACAGACTCACATAGACACAGACTCACGTAGACACAGACTCACACAGACACAGACTCACACAGACACAGACTCACATAGACACAGACTCACACAGACACAGACTCACACAGACACAGACTCACATAGACACAGACTCACATAGACACAGACTCACACAGACACAGACTCACACAGACACACACAGACATAGACTCACACAGACACAGACTCACACAGACTTACACAGACTCACACAGACTTACACAGACACAGAATCACACGGACACAAACTCACACAGACAGACTCACACAGACTTACACAGACACACACCCACACAGACACAGACTCACACAGACACAGACAGACACATACTCACACAGACAGACTCACACAGACAGACTCACACAGACACAGGCTCACACAGACACAGACTCACACAGACACAGACCCACACAGACTCACACAGACACAGACCCACACAGACACAGACTGACACAGACCCACACCGACACAGACTCACACAGACACAGACTCACACAGACACAGACTCACACAGACACAGACTCACACAGACACAGACTCACGCAGACTCACGCAGACTCACACAGACACAGACTCACACAGACACAGACTCACACAGACACAGACTCACACAGACACAGACTCACACAGACACAGACTCACACAGACACAGAATAATACAGACACACTCACACAGACTCACAGAGTCACAGACCCACACAGACACAGACCCACACAGATACAGACCCACACAGACTCAGACTCACACAGACCCACACAGACAGACTCACACAGACACAGACTCACACAGACACAGACTCACACGGACACAGACTCACATAGACACAGACTCACGTAGACACAGACTCACACAGACACAGACTCACACAGACACAGACTCGCACAGACCCACACAGATACAGACTCACACAGACTTACACAGACACAGACTCACACAGACACAGACTCACACAGACACAGACGCACACTGACTCAGAATTATACAGACACAGAATCACACAGACACAGCCCCACACAGCCACAGATTCATGCAGACACACTCACACAGACACACACAGACCCACACTGACTTGAACTCACACAGACACACACAGACACAGACCCACACAGATACAGACCCACACAGACTCAGACTCACACAGACACACACAGACACAGACCCACACAGACACAGACTCACACAGACACACACAGACACAGACCCACACAGACACAGACTCACACAGACACAGACCTACACTGACTTGAACTCACACAGACACAGACCCACACAGACTCACACAGACACAGACTCACACAGACAGAGACTCACACAGACTCACACAGACACAGACTCACACACAGAGACTCAGACCCACACAGACTCACACAGACACAGACTCACACAGACACAGACCCACACAGACTCACACAGACACAGACTCACACAGACCCACACAGACACAGACTCACACACAGAGACTCAGACCCACACAGACTCACACAGACACAGACTCACACAGACTCACACAGACACAGACTCACACACAGAGACTCAGACCCACACAGACTCACACAGACAGACTCACACAGACTCACACAGACACAGACTCACACACAGAGACTCAGACCCACACAGACTCACACAGACACAGACCCACACAGACTCACACAGACACAGACTCACACAGACACAGACTCACATAGACACAGACTCACATAGCCACACAGACACAGACTCACACAGACACAGACTCACACAGACACAGACTCACACAGACTCACACAGACACAGACGTGACACAGACTCACACAGACACAGACTCATACAGACACAGACTCACATAGACACAGACTCACATAGACACAGACACAGACTCACACAGACACAGAATCATACAGACACACTCACACAGACTCACAGAGACACAGACCCACACAGACACAGACCCACACAGATACAGACCCACACAGACTCAGACTCACACAGACTTACACAGACACAGACTCACACAGACGCACACAGACTCAGAATTATACAGACACAGAATCACACAGACACAGCCCCACACAGCCACAGAATCATGCAGACACACTCACACAGACACACACAGACACAGACCCACACTGACTTGAACTCACACAGACACAGACCCACACAGATACAGACTCACACAGACTTACACAGACACAGACTCACACAGACACAGACCCACACAGACACAGAATCACACAGACACAGACCTACACTGACTTGAACTCACACAGACTCAGACTCACACAGACTAATACGGACACAGACTCACACAGACGTGACACAGACTCATACATACACAGACTCACGCAGGCACAGACTCACACAGACACACACAGACACAGACCCATACAGACACAGAATCACACAGACACAGACTCACGCAGACACAGACTCACACAGACACACACAGACACAGACCCATACAGACACAGACTCACACAGACACAGACTCACACAGACTCACACAGACACAGACTCACACACAGAGACTCAGACCCGCACATGCCCACACAGACACAGACCCACACAGACTCACACAGACACAGACTCACACAGACTCACACAGACACAGACTCACACACAGAGACTCAGACCCACACAGACTCACACAGACACAGACCCACACAGACTCACACAGACACAGACTCACACAGACACACTGACACAGACACACACAGACACACACAGACACACAGACACACACAGACCCACACTCACACAGACACACACGGGACACACACGGGACACACAGACACACACACAGACACACACAGACACAGACTCACACAGACACACACAGACACACACGGGACACACACGCACGTGTTCCTCCACAACTCACTTCTTGCTGCGAGGCCTCACCCTGACGACCACCCTGACGCTCGTCATGGCCGTGCCGGGCTGCGCTCCACCTGGCTCATGTCCCCCCTCGTGTCCCGTCCCCCCCCCCCCCAAACGGAGACGGGGACAGCTCCCGGGGTCGCGGGACCCGCTCGCTCCTCCGGACTCGCCTTGCTCCGGGAGTCTCCGTTGCCTCCCTCCCTCCCTCCTCCTCCTCCTCGTCCCGTACGGGCGGATGAGGACCCACGACCACCCCCTCTGCGCTGATGATGCGGTCCCGCCTACCCCCCACCCCCCACGATCCTTGTGGCCACGCCCTCCTCAATCCGGTTGTAGGTGGGGGGGTGCAAGGGATGATTTAAAGATTTATTATTTTTTAGCTTTAAATCGTAGCTACAATTTCGATTCTCTGTCCGGGAAACGTCTTACCGAGTCCATACTAACACGCGTCAACCCATGCGGTTTGACCACCCGATTCCTGTGCAGGGAAATTGAGTTTTGAGGTCCACGCGCCTTTTCAATACGGGCAAATGTGTTTTTTATTTTTGTCGATTTTTTGTGTTTCTCTCTTGCGATGGGACTTTGTATGATGAGCGTTGAGATTTATAAGGGGCACCACGGGGTGACCAATAAAGTCTGAGTTGGTCTGTAATAAGGTAGGATACTGATAAGGGGTTGACAGATATGCGAGTCACAAGACTATAATTTTTGTATTTCAATCGGATCCTAAGTTGTTGTTTTCAAGTGATGATGTCGCTGCTTCTGCTGTGTACAATGTCATTCGAGTGATTTGCAGGTATGTTTGCCTCGCCTTGGGATTTATGTGAAATGTTTAGTACATTGTCGAGCTGTGTTGGCCTGCGGTTGCCGAACCCAATGCATTATAATAAGGTCGCACTCGTTACACACACAAAGTGCTTGCCACAAATGAGCCGCAATACCTCGCTGCTGATCTCGTCAAAAAGCATAAACCATCGTCACTGCAAACTCCGGTCATCCTGGCAGCAGTGGCTTCTGGCTGGGCCATCGAACAAAGACGATCTCACCGCATCGCGCGCTTTCAGATGCGCTTCTGCGGCCGTCTGGAACGCTCTTCCTTCCGATATTAGGAAGCCACTGAGAGCTATGCACTTTTAAATCATCATCTAGATTGTCAAACTCATGTCTTTATAACTGATTTTTTGTGTTTGGTTTGTTGTCCTTCCCCCGCACCTCCGATCAGCACGGTTGTGCTTCGTATGGTGCAAAAGGGCCATTGCCCTAAACGTCACCTATTATTTAGTTTTTAATTTAAGGCCGAGTAGGGTGTGGAACATCGGTTGACTTGCTAGGAGGCACAAGTGTCACCACTGGGCCACCTTGCGATCCTGTCTCTCATTTACTAAAGCTGTAAACAATTAAATCTTGACTTTAAAAGCTTTCGTGACTGCAGGAATTCATATTCTTTGGGTCTTTCGGTAAAGTCACGTGGATAGGTTAAAAGAAAATTTAAAAAAACGACGTCTCGATCGCGACACGAGCGGTCGTTCTGATGACGTCCGCTTGTGTTGAGACCGAAACGTCGGAGTTTTTTTGTTATTTTCTTTGAACCTATCTACGTGACTTTACCGAAAGACCCAAAGAAAAACTATAACAACTTAAATTTTGATTTAAAGCTTTCGTGACTGCAGTGATTCATATATATAAACCAGGTGTGAAAACCAACGTTGGTTTTCACACCTGATGATGACTGCTTGTGTTGCAGTCGAAACGTCGTGAGAATTTAATTGTTTTATATATTTTATTATTTTATAGTTTCCCTTCAACGTAACTTTACCGAAAGAACCAAGAATATAAACTTGTTTTTATTTTACCAGGTAAGGTCCGCTGGAGCTATCAACCTCTTTTTTTCAGAAGCGACCTGGCCACAATTTGATAGCTCAACGCCGTGGCTTATCACCACGTCGAAATTCATAGCAGCCAAATCGACTGAACGCGTGATGTTGATTCTAAATGTGGAGGGGAAAAACCGGAGGACGCGAAGAAAAATCCACGCGACCACGGTGAGACCACGCAAACAACTCCGTTTAAAAATAAATAAATTTATGCAAACCGACACACCTGATGACGACCGTTTGTGTTATGGTCGAAACGTCGTGAAAATTTGTATTGTTTTATATATATATTTTATTATTTTATTGTTTCCCTTCAACGTGACTTTACCGAAAGAACTAAGAATATGAATTACTGCAGTCACGAAAGCTTTAAATCAAAATTTAACTCCCAGGACCTCCTGCATACCAAGCGAGGGAGTTAACATCTCGTCACAAGCGGCATGCTCTAAATGTGGTCCCGTCGATGACAATAGCCCCAAGTCTGATTGTGCTCACCAGGTGGGAAAATTCAAGGGACCAGGTCGAGCCTCGTTTGCAAGAAAGAGTCACCTGGAGGAGGCAGCGGGCACGGGGGGGGTGGGGGGGGCATTTGTCTGCCAGGGAGCAAAGATTGCTGCTATGTTACAATCCCGAACCGATAAAGAGTCACCCGGGCCACCGAAACGACAAAAGCACAAACAAAACACACAGGGACTCCTCTACTTACGAACGCCCGACTTACGAACTGTCAGAGATACGAACAAACCCGTCTGTATCTCGAGTTGCCTTGTCGGACACCTAGAGTCGCCCTAAGTTCAAATCGCCGCGCAAATAGATGGCGGTAGTCGTTCCGGTGACAGGAGCCGAACAGCAAGGAAGCGAATAGAAATGAGAACATAGCACACGATAGCATGCATGTCAACCCCTTATCGGTGCCGTACTTTATTACAGACCAATTCAGAACTTATTGGTCACCCCGTGCCCCTTATAAATCTCAACGTTCATCCTGCAACGTCTCATCGCAAGGGAGAAACACAAACAAATAGACATGATCATTTTTTTTTGCCCGTATTGAAACGGCTGTACGCCGTATGGACCTGAAAACTGAATTTCCCTGTGTGAGAATAAATACGGCGTTAAACCATGCGGGTTGACAGGTTTGCAATAATTTTTTTATTTAAAGCTTTCGTGACTGCAGCGATTCATATTCTGGGGTTTTTCGGTAAAGTCACGTAGAAGGGGAAACAATAAAATAATAAAAAAATATATGTGGAACAATAAAGTTATCACGACGTTTCGACTGCCAACACAAGCACCTGAGGGTTGCAATAGTCTCACGAGAAATCGACAATATTGCGCAACAATACTGTCACCGCCCACCAGCGCTGTAGCCACGCCTACGAGGAGACCGCCAGCCAATAGGAGCGCTGGTTTTCAGAGCGCTATTAACATGGGGGGGGGGGGTAGGCGCCCGCTACGCGATGTAGGCCAATGGGATGACAGCCTCATGTTTATTAAGTAGGTTCGTGTGAAATCGGCCAATCGGAACCAACCGTTCGAGGCCGGCTCACGTTTATTAATTAGACAAGCCGAGCACGCGTTCAACTTTGATACTATGTTAACAGGTGACGGTTCGGGCGATGAACCTTCTTCATAGCAAATACATTAAGGGCGATTGCCCGAAACGTTGCCAGTTGTTTATTTTCGCTCTTAAGATGAAGACTCCTGTTATTGACGAGCGTTACAAAATGTGCACCACCGGTAACTTGTCACGAGGCAAGTCACGCGCGGTGGGGTAAAGTGTGGGCGCTCGGGCCTCTTCCCGAGGCGTACGGTCAGCGTGGAAGAGTAGGCCAACGACGCTCTTTCGAGTGGCGTCTGTTGTCGGTGTTGTGTTTGGGCCAACAGCGCCACCTGCCGTGCCACAGCGCGAGATGCAGCGGCGTCTCTGGCGCCCAAATTCTGTTCGCGTTTGCAGGAAAACCCCTTGCGGCAAAATCCACGACTCAGCAGGGGGCTGGGAACAGTTTTTTTTCTGCCGAGGGCCATTTGGATATTTATGTAACGTCATTCGCGGGCCATACAAAAACAGGTCCCCGCAGGGTGGGCTGGTAGGAACATTGGAATTTTGCGCAATTTTATTTTTACACCCCAACAGCACGAGATTTCACTTCGTTAAAGTATTGAAAGGGGACGGACGGGCGGACACATTAATCTATTGCAGGCTGGTACACTCAGTTTACAACTTCGTTCCTACCAGTATGATCAACTTTAAAAAAATTTGCCTGTTATATTTGGCCAAACATTTCATTAGCTCGCCCCTAATGCGATGGTCTGGAACTGCTTCTCTTTGGCGAGGCGTGTGGTGATGATGTTAGCTTGGTACTGACGATGATGTCGCTACTCGCAACTGCTTTTTTCCAGGTTTGCTCCTAGATTGATTGAATTTCGAGTCTCGCCTGCGGTTGCTTTGGCAGGGCCAGAGACTCAAAATGATTTCGCGGTGCCTTGGACGGCCCGCGTGCCGGACGTTCCCCACCCGTGCGACTGCTGGATGAAGGCCCTCTGTGCGAACCCACGAGGAGCTATTGAACCATACTTCACCAGGCTGGTCAACGCGGTCTGGTGAAAGGCGGGTAGTGGGAATGTGCGGGCGTTGGTAGCAGAGAAAGTGCAGAATAAGGGGCCGTCCATAAATGACGTCACGCACTTAGGGGGTGGGGGAGGGGGTCAGACATTTGTGACGATCTTGATTTGAAGCTTTCGCCACTGCAGGAATCCATAACTCTCTGGTTCTTTCGGTAAAGTCTCGTAGGTAGACTTTACCGAAAGAACTACAGAGTATTTGTGACGATGTGTGACGAGGAGGGGGGGGGTTAATAAATGTGACGTCACATTAAAATGCGCAACTTTAAATAAATATAGACAACACGTTCTACTTAAATAAACAGACTTTTTAGTAAATGTTTTCTCCTACAACATCAGAGTGCAGTGCCACATTAAATATGCACTACAATGACAATAGTTTAAAGCGATTTGAAGCATGTTTAATTTTAGGGGGGGGGGGCAGAGCTTTGTGACGTCATATTTGAGGGAGGGTCTGACTTTTTGTGACGATGGGGGGGGGGGGGGGGTCAAAAAAATCGTCCAATATCGCGTGACGTCATATATGGGCGGCCCCTAATTAATTTAGCAATTCTTACATACGGCGCTGCTGTGGGATTTCTATGGCGATGCTGAGTTCTGCTCGCCACAAAGAGGGCTTCGGGAAGCCTGTTTATTTTTTTTGCGGAATGCTCCTCGGTCGAAAAAAGCGCAGACTACAGTTGCTTTACTACTGCATGGTCCAGAGTGGACACGGCC